CAAGCCCTGAGATGATTTTTACAGCTGGCTGAGGTGTGTCTTTCTAGTAGTCTAATTCCACTTAATGGCTATGTCGAAAAATTCAGGAGACTTACATTACCCTCTTTCACTTGCCAGTATAAGGTATCGTGTGAATCTCAGAAAGAATTTCCTAGCTGCAAAGGAAAATGTAGGCTTCCAGGCTATCATTTCTTGAGTTTCTTTACCTTCGTGTTGAAAGGAATGATCGAGGGGGGAAAAGAAACCGTTTGACATCTAACCACAGAAGGAAAAATTCTTCTCCTCAAACTTCTCCAGGCTGTTTTGTTTCATTCTCCATCCTGTGCACATCTGGTCTGGTGAAGAAAGATGATGTGAAAGGGAGTTATTTCCCTTCTGAAGATTTGGTCACAATTTAATAGTAATCACAAGTCTGGGAAAATGAAAGGGTTGGAAATATTTTCTATCTTTTTTTGGTAGTTGGCTGCACTCTGATAAATGCTACAACACACTCATCATCGATTGTTTTGTTCCCCACTCCTGGCTGAGGGATAATATTATATTCTTCCACTGTTGACCTCTGGCTGTGTTAACCTGCTTTGGCCAATGCCATGTGAGCTGCAGTCACCTGCCCCTCGTAGGAGCGAAAGCTTGGAGACTTGCTGAGTGGCTCCTCCATTCCCTCTGCTCCTTCTGCCATGAAAGCAGTAATGTCACAAAGGCGTGGCTGCCCTGGAGCCTGGGCCCCCTATGACGATGTGGACTGTGGCCCACAGCCAACCCTCAGTAGATATGCTGAAAGCCACTGAGAACTGGGTCATTTGTAACTGCCCAAGTTGACTGGTGTGCCACCTCGGTCACTACAGTGCCTTTTCATAGTTCTCATGTTCCAGAGTAGAATCCTAGGAAGATTGTAAACCTAGACCAATGTGTTAGGGAAACGGGGAGGGCCAATGGCATTTAAAATGATGGCTTTTTTTTTTTTTTCCTGTCTGTTGTTTTAAAAATCTTCTTTCTCCTGCCTTAATTCTCTTCAGATTAGCAGTTTGGGAGAGTTTTAAATGATTGCAGGTGACTTGGCCAGGGCACCTACTTTCTGGAACATGGCTTGTGTATTTACAGGTCTATTAGAATAAGTTCTCCATGAATGTGGGGGTTTGCTTTTGATGATGTATCTCAAGCGTCCTGCACATAGTCAGCCACTCACCAAATATCTGGCAAATGAATAAGCGGTGTCACTTATTGCCAATGAGTTCCCCTTTGATTCGATTTTAGTGAAGTGGGTAGTCAGAATAATCGCCCTTCTTAACGTTTCTGAATCTGTAGTAGAAAGTCTGACTCTAGGTGATAGGCTGAGTGTTTCTCATAGTAAATCAGTTGCTACCACAGGTTCTGTCACCATGTGGACTCAGTGTATTACAGGCAAGTGTCGCCATTCACTTCAAATAGTGCCTCTGCCTCACTTCAGGTGGTGGGTATTAAAACTTTCATTTTAAAAACAACAACAACAGAGCTGGTTATGTTCTCCTTCCTTGCCCAAGTTTGAGATTCTGCTTGCTGTCAGGATCCTGATGAATGAATGGAATCTGACCACCTTGCTGTGTCCTGGGCCTTTCTGAGC